TATAAAGCACATAATGGTTTAGGGACACAATGCATTAGTGGCCTTCTGATTCATAATGAACAATCCTGACCGCTCAGGTCGTCTTGGACAGGTCTTCAAGCAGCGTTCAGTGTCTATGCTCCGTTTATCTGGATCAAACTCACATAAAACTGCAGGTTGAAGACTTACCTGTTGACAGCTGCCTTCCTTAAATGAAGTTTTCTTTATACTCATTTTAATTATAATTCTACTCTTTTATTTTGAAACTGCCTTATCGTATTCGCTTTTAAGTTGTATGAGATAATATCATTTGAATGCCACCTTTTAAATGTTTCTGTTTCCCTTTGTCATGATGCTTTCGATGTCTTGTTTGTAGCACCTTTAGTTGTCTGTTTTGCCTAAATGTGCTCTATAAATACATTTCCCTTGCCTGACCTTGCCTTATGATTATCATTAACCCTGATTACAAGTTAAGCAAAGTTATGTTTTTGTGTATTTTGAGGGAATGTTCAGTCTGGGATTAAATCACAAATCAAAGAAAAATCTGTAGAAGGAAAAAAATTGAAAAAACTACCAGCAAAAAAAAAAGCTCCACGCTGAAGACAAATGAATGACTTTCTAATCCCAAATATTTGACCGTCAGAGGATTACATTACTGCTGAGATAGTCCTGGAGAAGACGGTGGTACAAGGTCAGCATGAGTTGAAAGTAATGTTCAGTCAGCCCTGACCTTTGACCTTACGTGAGGGCGAAGAGGAGGAGAGGATTTCTTTATATAAAAATAAATCGATATAGACCGATTTCAACATATGAATGCAGAAGCGCAATAATTTATGAACTGTAATATGGGAACCAGCTGGCTTTCATCATATGAATAGTGAGCTTTTTATTGATCTCAACATATAAATAATATGTATGAAGCAGAGGATTTATCTATACAGTTATTTGTATATTAAGTGCTGCCGGACAAATACATTTCCAAACAGTGCCGTAAGACGAGAAAAAACAGTATTTTCATGAAATAACCACTTAAGTTGAGTCATAAATACTTAATGATATCAATAAAATCTATTTATGAATATAACTCAAAGGAAGAATGTCTGACTTTTTGATCCAGTAGATGTCGCCCTTGAGCCTCCGCTCTCCTCCAGCGACACACCTCTAACCCCTCTCCACTTGTTCACACGAAGGAGTTACCGATAAGAATGCACCATAACTAAGCACCATTAAGCACAAGCAGCAGACACAATTGTTCTCTGCTCGAGCTGCAATTGCCTGTGTCCTACATTGTTGTGTTAGCAGGCTAATGTTAGCACACCTTGATTAGCACGTAGCTTCATATTGCACATAAATTGACACAGAATGACAGAGATCTGACACCTATGTGACATCCAAATAAGCAGTGATTATGTTCTTCTTTTCTCTAGTCCTTGACTAAAACAGATTTATACACCAGGCCGTCCCGGCCATGTAAACATGATGTAAACACGGCTCTGACAACAGTACAGCTGGAGGGACTCAAGCTTCTCTCTCATTGTAGACAGTCATGACTCAAAGAGACATTTACACAGGATATTGATTTCTGCTGTATTAATGTTTTAAATGTTGCACGTTCTGCCTTTAAGTCCTCTCAGACATAAAATGTAGAAGATGAATTGGAAAAGGTCGTTTGGTGTCACAACTTTAAGATTCTTGCAACATGGAGGCAAATTCACCACAAAATAAATTCAATAAATTCTTTAATCTTGAAAGTTGTGGAGGTAAATATTACGGAAGCCCTAAGAGGACGTTCATCCAAACTTTTCTTATGGTCAGTTTTCCCAGAGGAAATATTGAAATCTCCACTCATTTATCTCTTTATCTCGAGATGACAATGCTGCCAGAGGTGCTGCTTGTCAACAGGCAAGGCAGGCAACTGTTTGGGGCCCCAAACCAGTAAGGGGCCCCTGAGGGCTCACAAACTTAAACCAAAGCAGTGGCCAAATATGAGCAAATTTTGCAATGACAGTAGGAAACTTCCCTGAGGGGGCCCCATCTGACACCTTTCATTCTCGTTGCCCTGATAAGTTTGTCAAAGTCACCGAAGGAAAAGGAAGAGGAATAATCTGACTACAGCAGAGAAAAAAGAAAATAAGAGGAAGAGGAGTAAGAGTCGGCTGGCAGACGTGATGGTGATGAACGCTTGTTGTAGGGCCCCCCAAGAGGTTTTTACCTAGTACACCCAACAGACTCTTGAATCGCCACTGAACGCTGGTTTTTCTGTTATAATGAGGTAATGAAAGTCATTTTCCACGAGATCCTGAAAATTTAACTTGTTATTAAGAGAAAACCAGCATGAAATATGACGCTAAATAAATCACGATCTCTGTAAAACAACCAACATTTACTCATCATCACGCTGAAGAGTGAAATCAAATGCATGGATGTCCTGATAGGCTTTGATTAGTACCAGTGGAACAAACTGACTCCCTTCATAGATCAGTCAATATCAGCGTTATAACATGAGTGTCATAAATGCAGAAGGTCAGGAGGATTAGTCTAAACTTTTGTTCCAGTCTAACGAGATCCTTTAAGTCCTGCTTATCTGTAAAAACAGAGTGGAGCCCATCAAAGGCAATTTGGCAAAAGCAAGTGACGAGTAATTAAAATATTTCTCACTGAGTTGGTGGCATTTAATACTTTTCATGCGGAGCAGAAAGTGTTCCCACCGACCCGTTATCAAATGTTTTCCTGTCAGCACGTCGAAAAATAGATCTCATTACATCGGAATAAACAAGGCCACATTTCCTACAGTCATTGTTAAATCTTTTTAAGGCCTCCGTCTTCCTCCTCTGCCAACTTCATTAGAACAGCTTCATTGTTTGGCTGAACTCCAAATAGCCTTTTGATCCGTCAAAACATGGTGTAGATAGATCTGAGACATTCTGCTGCGGGACATAATCTGTGCAGGTTGTTGATGAAGGAGTCTCATCTCATCCTCGTCAGTCCCTCAGTCTGATGTTTCACCTTCAGGTCGGTCCTCAGCAAAATGCCATCATATATGTAACTAACTCTATTCTGAATCTCTGCCATTCCTGTCAGCTTCACTGTTTTTGTGTCTTTGTTAGCAGCTGTCATTGAAGTCTGTATAACTGGTAACACAACAAAGAGTCACGCTTTTAAGACTCATCACACTCAGCTCAAGCATAAGAAATGTTCTCCTCTGTTCCCATTTCATTGTTTTCTATCAGAGCATTTGGGTTTATGATTGCTGTAGGTATGTTAAGATGTATATATTTAAAAAAAATATAACAAAACAATATTTTTTACAAAGGAGTATTAGGGCCACCTTTAGGAGAAAGAACATTTTAGATTTTGAGATTAAAGTCGTAAATTTATGAGAATAAAGTTGTAAATTTAGTCGACAGTTAAATCAGAAGAGAAGCATCTGCCTGTAAGAAAATGAGGAACGTGAAGCATCCTGTGAAGGACCTGCTTCATCATTTTCAAGCAGGCGGATAGCTGCTCTTCTGATACAACCTGTCAGAATCATCACTTCAACCATAGCCTCATTTCAATCGCATTACAAATTTAAAATCGTAAATTGATTACTTTAATCTCAAAATTTTAGGAAATAAATCTTTAACATGTTCTTAATAGTCTGTTTTACTTTTCAAATGACATGCCTATTCTCTATTGTTTTGAAAACTCTCATATCAGAGTGCTGATTGATACTGTAGATTGAAGTCGCAGCAGAGAGTTAACTGCAATCAAATCAGATAAAAAAACTGAAGCACTGCCAGCACCATGACATTACTATGATTAGCATTATTCAGCATGCATTATATCAAGTATAATGCCCAACAGGCTCCAATATCAGGAATTAATAGACGATTCTGGACTCCCTTTTTAACACTTTAGGGTTTGAATAATACCTGAAACTGTCAGTACCATCTTCTAAAGTTTTCATCTGATGGAAACAATGATTTCTGCTCAAGTAAATACATCGATCTTAACATTAGTGCATTAATATAGAGCGGTGAACAGGCTGTGTCCATGGTCAGTAATTATTGGACACCCTGCAGCCAATCAGAACGGAGAATTCACCCAGAACATTTTCAAAACAATGTGAAACACTACACACTAAATACTTAGAAAAACTTGAATAAAATAAGACACAAGTTGAAGGGGAATGTCGCGTTTATGATCGATGTGAAAGGATTAAATATTTCTTGTGTGCTATCAGGGTATTTTGGCTCCATATTAAAGGCAGGGTTGGACATTTTCGAAAACTACCATGATTTTGAAAGTAGCATTCCCTCAGTGCTCCGTCTACACACACCCCCCCCCCCCACCTCTGTGCTCCCTCAAAAGCCACGTCCCCTCACTGTTGTTGCTCCAGAACTAGACTCAGCTCATCGCTTGCTTTGTGTAGAAACTATGTTGTCTCATTCAGCAGTCAGTAAACTCCCAGTATAAACTCTGTCATCGGTAACCATTTTGAGTGTTGGCTAGTGAACGCATGGGGTCGAGAACGAGCAGGGAGACAGGGAGGCATCTGATTGGTTCATCAGATTGGTACCTCATGGCAGACATTGGTCAAAGTTTTTACAGGCTTACAACTGCTACAGATGGCGTATTTTCTTCATTCCTTTTTCAGAGCACAGGAGTTATTAATATCTGTCAGGACCTAAAGACAACTTCAACCAAAATCTTAAAAATTGTATCTGGAGGAAATTACCAACCCTGCCTTTAAGACGGCATGATTTTTTTAGCCTGGGGAAAGTATTTGTCACAGCCTTGTGATTTAAATCTGATGCAGTTTGGCCTTTGTTATGCAGCAGTTTGTGACTGACTCCCCTCATCCCAGCCTCCCACCAGTCAACACAAACACATACACACATGCACACACACACACACAAAGGAGGATTAAATATAACCCATCTTCTTTACTCTCTTTCAGTATTTACACGTGATCATTTTACAGCAATATTACTTTAGATTTATGGCTTTTTAACCACATTATACCTATCAAAAATATACAAAAATAAAACTGCATCTGTTTCTTCCATATATCACAGTTCTGTCATCAGTCCTTTGCTGTCTCTGCGTGTTAGGAAGAGGTACGTGATTTCCTGTTCCGCTTCGCGCGACGTGTGGATGGAAATCGGATGAACTCAAAGTGTTTGCTTTGGTCCGTGTTGGGGAAGGGAGGCGGGCCCGTGTGCAGCCTCTTGATGAAGTGGACCTCTCTCTGGTTCTCCCTCGTCCTCGAGGCTTTGATGGGCCTCCCTTTCCTGGTGAACGCCACATACCAGCCCTCATACTTGGCATTCTGGAAGGCTGTGTAATTGTTTTCCAGCACTTTCTCTGTGAAGATGCAGTCCCTGCTCCGGCCGTTGGGCTGCACGAGGAGAGAGAACACAGGTTTGAGTTAATTGCACATTCAGTAGGAAGTTTGCGATCCTTTCATTCAAGTACAAATCAAACAAAAAAACTGCTGCAACAAACAGTAAACCCCATTGAAATGGACGTTTTGATACCAAAACCAATCTGAAAGGGTAAAATTCTCTGTTTACTAAAGTGGTATGCATGCATTTATGAGCTGAATAACTTATACACTTTATTCTGTGCATTGTGCAACCATTTGGCACCAATTTGACAATGCAAAAATAATCAAAAGGCTACTTTCTTAATCTGACTTTTGATGCCCCTGGATGAGCCACTATAGCAAATAAGACCATCAGCCTGATAATTTTTGATTTTTGAAGTCTGCCGCAGGGTAGGTGTCAGATGAAATTATTAGCTGGACGCTGCAGGAGTAGCCTTTGCTGAAGTTTTCCCACAGCAAAGATTCACAGCAAGTGATACATTCAACTGTTAAAAATCAGCAAGAGGAGGTTTTTCTTCAGAAAACAAGACTTTCACCTCTACAGGACCAGATCAGAAAAGAGATCAAATGTAGCACGATGTCCACAGGAGACGCCATAATCCACTCAAACTAAAAGTTCCTCACAGTAGCTTTTAATGAAAATGTTACATCAGTGTATGTTTTCATCAGATTTGGGATCAGACAGGAGTCTGCTCATCTGTGATGCTTTGCAGACAATGCAAAGAGTATTAAAAAACAATTGAGCCAGAGCTTCTTCGGCCGGACAAACTATGTGATGACACCTTTTCTTAATCAAAGTTTCCAACATTGAAAAAATTAAAGTTTTTATATCTGCACATAATGGAACAATATATCTGTAATCAGCTAATCTTTTTCAAATCAAACCAATGTATTAGTCCTGCTCTTCATCATACAGCTGTAGCGATATCCAAGTCATGTCATCTCAATTCAACCAATTGGAGTTTTTTTTTCTTCACATTACAGCAATTTTTTTAAGTAATTTATGATCTTAAGTTCTTAAGTTTAAAGAGGAAAAATCCGACTTTGATTTTATAAAAGTAAAGATGTATTTAAGCAATAAAGAACAGAACAATAGTAGTATTTTTGACACAAGCTGATGTTATAGCTAACGTTTAATCTTCAAAGAACATCCTCACTACATGTTGACTACTGTTTGTGTCCTGTTAAAATTAAAAGTCAACATTAAAGTGTTTTTTTCTTTAAAAAAAACAGACAATAGCAGATGCAGTCTTCTAAAAGAGGCACTAAAACCCTCGGCGAGGTGCAGTAAAAGATCACCTAATTAATGTGCTGAAGTCAAATATCAACTAAATAAAAGTTTTAGCCAACGTCATTGGGCTCGCCCGAAAAAAGCTTTGTTCTTTATAAAAAACGGGGATGCCACCATGATGACAAACAGATTTATGACTTGTCATGACAGCCAGATATGTGATTCTATCTTTTCCATTTCCATGAAGGAAGTCGAGCGTTGACTTATGACCAGTGCATGATGGGAGGGAACTTTCCCCTCGTCGCTGTCAGCCAATAAGAGGGAGCGACACTCACTGCGTCCTCTGAGGGATCCTTGTTTCCAGCACATCATGTCCTGGGATGACGGACAAGTTATGAGAACACAATGACAATGGAGTGAAGCTTCAGTGTGGGAGCTGCAAGTGTTTGTTTTAGTGGATGTGAGATCCGATAAGGTGAAGCCATGCAGGCACAGCCCTCTGAAAAAGCTCTGAAATGAAAGGGTTGTACTGAAGAATGTTTTCTTAGAGACACAGAGAGCTTTTTGTCCGCCTGTTTGAGAGCTGATCTGGTTCAAACACCTGCCTTACCTATTAAATCATCTCAGAAACCCTGAGAGGCAAAAGGAGGGACAGGTTTGTTTTTCTATTTCAAGAGTTTTCTCTCCTTTATTCACCTGCACAATCTTTCCTCATAGAGTTAGCTTCTTAGTTTTATTTAATCTGTAAAACACATGGGATGTTGACTTTTTCTTGCAAGTAAAAATATCAAGATTTAAAGGGATGCATTTTTTTTAAAATAATTTTGTTTTCTAAAGGGTTTAAAAAAATTAAGCATGGTTGCGTTTTCTGTTTTTTTGTTGTTGTAATACCCGTTACAGACACAAGAGGGCGAAGTGCACAACTTTCCAGTATAAGAAAAAGGGCTTGAGTTTTATTTCAGGTGAGAGCTGGTTTGAATATCCAATAATGCAGAAAGATTATCCAGAAACACTTGTTTTCTGCTTATCTCATGGAGGGAAAAAAACAACTCAAAAAGATTTAGCTAAAAATAAAACATTAAACACTGAGTCACACTAAAGGGCAAGAAAATAGTTTTCATCAGTTCTTCAAAAAAGTATCCCCGAAATGTTTATCACGTGGGAAGTGGGACTTAAATATTTGACTTTATTAATTAAGATCGTTTTTTTAAATAATTGGTTTCAAAGTCTTCTTGTAGAATATGTCTGCCTTATTTGCCATCTTAAACATCAAGCTGCTTTTTCATTTCTTCTGAAAGCACTGAGTCCAAACTTTTCAGATCAGTATTAATGCATCGAGTCTTCTTGGTCTCAGACAAGAAGTGTTTGTGACTATCCTACCTTTCCCACAAGTTTCCCCTTCCGGTTCATGCAGAGGTAGCGCCCGCTCTCTGCACCTCTTATCCTCACTCGGCTGCCAAACGTGTCCGTCTCCACGAACAGACGAGCTGCAAGGGAAAAAAGAGAGAGAGAGAGTTAAAGAGCTGGATTCAAATAAACACATAAACATCACCAACTAAGAGACATCACATTTTTTTCAAACTCTATAAGTAGTTTTGTGTCATATGGACGTTCACTTAATTTTAGTCAAAATTGGACTAAATGATTTTCCTCTTGACATGATGCTCCTATAGCTGCACAACATCAGATCTGCAAAGTATTTCTGATCAGCTACTTTGAGGCTCATCTGCATTCCATACATCTAAACAAATCAACCTGTTAAGATAAATTAAGTCCTCTGAGCGATCTCTCTGGCCGAGCAGAAACTCCACACAGACAGCACCAACTGTTGAGTTAATAAAGGTAAGCCTCTCTGACTTTTAACCCTCTAACACCAAATGATTACACAAATGTTTTCACGCCACATTAAAGAGCGGAATATACATTCTCAATTGAATTTGTCCTGCAGTCAATGATGGCCATTGGCATCACAACAGCCTTGCGTATTGGAGCTTCACAGACAAAGCAGTGGTCCTAATCAGCTGTTAATTTGCCAGACGATGGCTTCATGGATGCAGCAGGGAGCTGAATTAACATATACGGCCCTGAGAGCGGCTCACAGAGGGAGGGACGAGCACACTGGAGGTCCACCTGCTGGTTTGCCTGAGGACGTCAGACCCCGGCGGGGGCTTTGAGGACCGACTGGTTTTCACCTGATGAATCGCTGCAGATGTCTCTGGCTTTTATTACAGGTTGTACTACGTTTCAGCTGACAGTGGTGCAAAAATCAAAAGGCAGCTCAAAACGAGGAGAGGGTTCATGAGTTTACAGAGACGACTAACGAGACATTTTTTTGTATTAGATGAAACAAAACACTCAACTTATTTCTTCATTACAAGTCTTTAAACTCGTATGTATAAGGCCTTTGTCTTTTTCAGGCAGCTACTTAGCATTTAAACTAACCGAGTTCATTCATTCATTTATTTGAGTTATGTTGATATTGTGGTTTTTGATGCAGTACTGTTTGTATGTATACCATGCTCAGTGACAGATTACAGGAAATGCTGTTTTTTAATCATTGCTGATATATTGGATTTTAAAAGCATTGGGATAAATAAAATGATGATTTCACTGATCATATTTCATATTGAGTTTCATTTTCTTAACGTTTTCATGCATATGGTGGTGTGTTCTACAACATCAATTTAATCACTATGATTCTGTTTTTACAATGAATTGAACCAAAGGCCCCCCTGATAAATCCAAGCTCTAAAAGCTAAATATGATTAAAGATTTTGAAACATGGACATACATTTATATTCTTTAATGTAATCCTTATTGAACATTATTGATTCTTATAGTTATGTATTGGCTATTTTCAGGATTTGTTAAATATTATCAATTCATGTAAAACATGTGTGATTGAGGATTTACATGAGGATTTACATTTTTAGGGCATTTATACCTAAATTGGTACATGTCCTTGTTACAGCGCCCTCTAAGGGTTATAAGTGTCTAACAAGCTTTTTCCTCACTCTTCATTATTAAAAAAGGTTCTCTATCAGTTTCCCAGGTTGTGACTTTATTTCTAAATTTAGACAAAAAATCACGTCTGGAAATGAAAAACTCTTCTCACCTCACTTTCACAAGGTCTACCAAAATATTCACATTACATTATGAGTTTTATTTGTAGGCCTTTTACATTGATGGTCCTTCCCAGTATTTTATATTTTTATAAAAATGTTTATGCTAAAGAAATTAAAGGAAAAAAATACGTTTTTGAAAGAGTCACTTTTATTTTTGCGGTGTGATTTTGTTGGCAGAGAAAGATTAAAATAAATTCTGTTACGTTGTCCGTTTTTATGTTTTTCTTGTTACATCTCCTTTTTATTTTGATTTGAAAAACAGTCATTCATAGGGATGAAATATTAAACTTTAAACTAAAGGAGTCGCTTGAGAAACAGGCTGGAGTCTATTTGTTTTTCCTCTCGAGAGTTTTTAGCAATATCTTCAGAGTAAAGGGGGCAATTTTAACCATTATTCTGGGTTTTTAAAGATCAGTGGCATTTATTTAAAATAGGATCTCTGGGGCTTGTCCAATCCCACTGTAATTATAACACATATAGTAGTGAATAGTGAAATAGGCCTATCAAAAATAAAAACCGAGCACAGCTAAATGGCGCAGGGTCAGCTCTTACCGTACAGGTTTCCATCCTCAGCTGTGGCGGTGACCCTTTTGCCCTGAATCTGGACGTGTTTCCCGCTGGTGCGGCTGTAGAGCTGGTACACCCGGACCTGTCTGCGGCTCAGCTGGTCCGTCACTGCGCCCTGCGTCCTCACATACTGCTTAAAATTAGGAGACGGGTGATTCTCCCCCTTTTTTTATGCAAAGGGAAAAATGAAATGCATAATTTTTTTCGTTCTAATCTGATATTAAAAAAGTAAATGTAATGAGCCAATTTGTATAACAAGTTATACATGGATTTTTCCCTTAAACTATTAAACAAATAAAGGGAATAATATCCGCTTTATAATTACGCATTCAGTGTATATCTTTGCATTGTCCTACTAAAGAAAAGGTCAAAAGTGTAATGCGCTTACCTGAGCATGGCACCACAGCACGAAAAAATGAAACGATCTGCAGGAGGGACAATAAACGTAAGATGAGTTGTTAATATAAGTATTTTAATGTTAGTTGTGTTTTAATATCAGCTTGATAAGTCGTCTTACATGTAAATACAGCGCTGGTTTATTCCATACATCCTCCCTTTTAGTTCATCCGATCAGGAATCTGGAGGCAGATAAATCCCACAAGGATGCGGTAAATAAATCCAGCTCTCCTGACCTGTCCATCCAAACCAGCAGAGTCTTTAATAGCAGTATATCCCCTCACATTTATCTAAAACCTGATCCAGCTGACTGAGAGGTGAGGACTTCAGTAGATCCGCGCAGCGCGTCAAAACCACATCCATCCTGTTTCAAAAAAAAAGAAAAAGAAAGCTGATTTCAGATGTTCTCGCACATCCCCGGGTCAGACTGTGAGGGACCTCCGTGCGGCTCCGTGCTGCTCTGCTTGGGTTTAGTCCAGGTTTTGAAAAAGCCCTCTGTCTCCCCGGGATCAGGCTGCTCACTGGTTAAATGTAGAGACACACAGTCCCCTCCCTGAAATCTGCAGGCTGTGGTGGGTGGGCACAGCAACAGGACCCCTTAATGATGATTTAATAGGAGAGGCAGATGTGCGATAAAAAAGAACACACTCAACTAATTTAAGATTAGAAAAACAAAATGCAATAAATACATCAATAAATAACGTTCAACTCTTCAGAAAACGCAACAAGTTCATTCAGAAACTCTCCTTGACGCTAAATCATGTAGATCATCACTGCAGCATTGTATTTAAAGGTCAGTAGCCTCATAAGTTGCCTTATGGGTGTGGCAATTAGGTGTTAAACAACCCCCCCCCCCCTCACCCCCCAGCCCTTACATCTCTTTTATCTTATGTTAACTGGTCACACTTCCAGCTCATGTTAAAGGAGGCCGAAACAAATCATAGAGACAAAAGGCCTGTTTCATCTCTTCATCAGAAGCAATCAACATCCTTAAGACGGGCAGAAGACTGTTTCCTTTTCCTCTCACAACATTTAATTAACACTGTGAACAAGAGAAGGAAGATGTTTGTTTCAGTCTGTATCTGTCTATTCTTTGGTGAACACACAAACGCTGTGTGGCCCGGTCACCGTTTCAAATAGAATCAAAAGCTTTGGTGCCTTTTTCGGGCCTTTGTGCAAGTTTTTTTTTTTTTTACTTTTGCGTTTTGTTGCAGTCAATTTGCATCTTTGTACACTCATCGTATGTTTCTTTTAGTTCTGTTGAGTGTCTTTGGTACTTTAGTGTGTAATTGTGATTGACAGTATCTCTGTCAGGTTGTTTTGTTTGTCTTTGTAGTTGGTTAATGTACGCTCACAATGCAAGCTTTAATGCTAGATTCTAAATCTTCTCTCAGAGCTGTGTATTTGTTTGGCTGTTCTCGTTGCTTTTTTAAATGTGTCCTGTATATGATCTTTTCAAATCTAATTTGAAAAGATCAGATTCCACTTGACTTGTGCTGTTCACACTGTCGTAGAAAAATCAGATCTGAGTCACATAGGAGCAAATAAAAAAAAAAATCAGATACCAGTCACTTTTGCCTGCAGTGTGAATGAAGACTTTTGGCTCAATTATTTGTCTTTTTGGGGTTCATTCTGTGTCTCATGCAGTCTGTCTACAATTTTTGGCAGCATCTCTGTTAAGTTATTTTGTGTCTCTTTGAAGTCCCTTTGCTTTTCTTCTAGATTTCACATCTCTTGTGTTGCTATTCATGACTCTTTTTTGTCACATAGTATCTCTAGTGTGTTGTTTTGTCTCCCTTTTTTTGTGTTTGTTTTGTATCTGTGTGAATGTTACATTGACTTCTTAGTTAAGGGTCTCCTCAAACAAAGGCCCCCCCCTGACCCTTTGGGCCCCTGAGCCCGAGCGTGGTAGAGCCCGTTGGCAGAGTTTGTGTCCATGAACAACAGTGTAACACGAAGCTTCAAGTGCCTTCACATCTTACCCTTCTCACGTTCTCTTGACCCCTCCACCACCTCGGTCACCCCGGTCTATGGGCAATAAAGTGATAAAATGCAGCAGTTAGGCACCTCTGACATGTTGATCTGCTTCTGACAGAGCAGCATCTGATTCCACTCGTCCCTGTCGCTTCTTACTGTAAAAAACACAGCGTCAGCTCGTCAATCCATCACTCAGGGCTCCTCCTACATCACAACAACTTACATTGTTTTAAACTTAAAACACACAAATCTGTGAGTGATGTAAAGGAGCCAGGCCATGATTTGCAGCATGATGCACGGTGCAGAAAGTGTGGTTTTTTATTTGTGTGTCAATACACTTTAAAGTCTTTATATGATGACGCATCACCCAAACAAAGTGTCTGCTGCTTAAAGAAAATAGGACTTTTGGTTTTGGATGCGAGTACTTTTGCAGTAGCTGTTGTCGTCTCTGTGGATTTCACAGATATCGGCAATCAGTAAGAAGTTTATTTGAAGGAATAAAGAAAGAAAAAGAGGAGATTGGACCTCATTCAATCTAAGAAGACATCGGCTAACATCTAACTGAAGTAACAGTCAACTTTTAAAGGGGATTTTTAGTGTAGCGGTTAGCAGTATAGGATCGCAGGATTGTTTTACTATCTAATGTTGAGAAACAATATAAGAATGGAGATTGCTACACTTGAATGAATATGTCTGTTTAAAGATATAAATTAAAGCTAACAGGATCCAGGATTGCATTATGTTGGACTGAAGCATGGTTGATACTTCTGTGTTGAATCTACAGAGTCACTAAGTCGTAATGGCCTACGCTGTTGTGAGTACTACATACTTGAGCGTTGGTGTGTCTGCCTATAGCGCTGCAATAATCAGCCTGAAAACGTTAGTTGGCAAAACAACGCAACTCGCAGTTGCGTTGTTTTGGTGCATAGTTACATTTTTGAAGATGTACATGTCAGGCTACCTACGTAGGCTTAGTCTACCACGTAGATTCAACACAGAAGTATAAATCAGACTTTAGTTCACTCTCCACATGCACTGTTTTCCGTCGTACAGACAAAGCCTATAAAAAGAACTATAAAAATACAGGTTGTTCACTTGATTGAATAAAAAACAAACTTCAGAAAAGGCTGTGGCGCTAAGAGTTGGGTTTTATCTGTTCATCTCAATCTGAAAGTATTATTTATTTTATTTTAAAATATCTGCACCACTGTGATGCTTCTTGGATGTGCTCTCCAGCCAGGTTTTACAATTACAAAATAATAAATGTTCTTTCTTTTTTTTTTTTTACTTCTATTGGTCAGACTTGGTGAGCAGTTTGATCCATGATGTGATACACTAAAAACAAGACCGATTTCCATGACTATTTACCATCCACAGATGGTACATAAGATGAATTCTTACTCCAAAGTGGCTTATGTCTTTTGGGTATTTCGGTCTTTCTTCCTTTTTTTAAATCATTTTTGGTGTCTTCAAGTGTAAAGAGTACACACCTAATACGTTTTTTTGTTTGTGTACCTATAGAGAACAAGGATATAGATATACAACATGTCTTCAGGCAGAATTTCTCGCGGACGGCCCGAGGCACAGAATCGGTTGCACACACTTAAGTTTACAAAGTTACCTGAGGCTATGGAACCTGATTTTCTCTTTGAGTGCCTCTGAGGCAGCCCGTCAGGCACTCAGGCTGCAGGTATGACCGCAGGCTGACAGGAAGAGTCTGATGACAGACTCCAGCCTTGGCATTTTCTATTGTGAGTATATTAGCATGGTTAGCATTTAGCTCAAAAGAGTGCTGTCTTCAGTTAAGCCTTTCGGAGCAACTACCCAGAGTCCTCTTTCTCTTTCTTTATTAAATCAATGAATACATTGATACACCTGGGTTTAATCTGTTGAAACAGTTAATACTAAAACAAATGAAAGCTGTTTCACTGCTTCATAAACCACATAATCTTCAGCAGGAGATGCACCAGGCTTCCAGGTAGCTCCGGTGTTAACTCAGCCTCCATTATTTTACACTCTTAGTGACATAGCAGGAGGACCAATAAAGTCCAATTTGTCTGGCATTCATGGGCCATGGAGGCATCAAACAAAACAGGACTCTCAACTAGAAATTTTAAGTTCTGTGTGAAGCAAAAAGTATTATTTGAGGCCAACACCTCAGTAAGTTAACTTGCTCCGTTAAGTCGAGCTACAGTTTTAGTTTGATTTGTTTAACCAGAACAATGTGTTGTTCCTGCTTAAGCACTCGCCATTTTGATTCTTTCATCTTGTTTTCTTCCGGGCTTTCTTCTTCTACGCCTTTATACTGTTCTGGGTCAAGTCAAAAGCACAGAATCTGGGGATCATGATCAGAACACCTTGGCCAATTTGGGGCTGATTGAGGTGTTCAGTATGCAAGAGGTAATTAATTTCCAGCTGCATTATCTCTGTGGGTTGGTCTGACTTTCAGAAACTCGACTTCAGTAAGACTGTTTACATCTATTTAAAAGTCCAGTTTTAGTTGGACTAACACAATAAATCAACTTTTTTTTTAACACAACATAACGGCCGGATTAGTTTCCAGAATTGAACCAGAAATGTTTGTGCAAAACACTTTAACAATTGTACTTAAAAATGTACGCCACTTCTGTCGGTGTTAGTAGCGTATGTAGTTACTTTTAAGATTTAATAACGCCATTACAATTACTAACATTTAAAATCACACATTACTCATGACTGTAAGTGCATCAGCCAACAACAACACAAGATTAAGGTTTATTGACAATGGTTTGGCGGACGAGGTATGAGATGTCTTTTGTTTTCCCTTCACGAGTTAAATGACAAGAATATAGCAGTGAGGCGATGTCTATGGGCAGGAAGGAAAACTCTGTCCAGCGCCTAGAATAGTCATCCTAATCTTATGAAGCACGGAGCTGAACAACACGCTTCTACTAAACTAGCTGTCAGAGAGCCATGGCGCTGCGAACACCATAGACCCAGGTTGCGCTCACGTTAGCTCGGCAGACCGAAGAGGAGTCACTCCTTACAAACGGACAAGACTTGATTTTAGATCAGACAGCTCCATGGTCTGTAAGCCAGGATCAAACAGACCGATAGACGTACAGTATGTTGTTGACGACACGCCTCATATCAAGTGTTGAGTCTGTTGCCTTCAGCGAGCTAATTAGCAAAAGGCC